TTTTTTAATAAATTGCACAAAATAAAACAAGTCACAAAACTATGCGTATTATATTTAAAAAATATATACCAATTTAAATATAATAAAAAATGATATAAATTCTAAAAGATATTTTAGAAGAATTCCAAAGTGGTTTGCTTTTTATTTTTTCAAGATTGTAGTTGTACAATATCAGCGCAGATATGATTTCAGTAGCTACGCGTTTGATAAACGACTAATCACAGCTAATTTTAACATTTAAACAATGCTTATTAGATGAGTTTCGAAGAAGTAATAAAAACATCTATATGAAAACGTTTCTGCGTATCACTGCGTAGCGATAAAGATCACCAGTCGCAGTTGCAAATCATATCGTCAAACGCTAGACGTAGGATCGGCAACGCCCGGATTTTTTTGTTTTCAACAATTCTATTGGTTCTAATGCTCGGGTCGACCTGAAAAAGCATTGGTGTCTCATCACTAATGTTTTTTGTTAGAGATAATAAAGTAATAAAATATTTAGGCGTTTACTATACGAAAACATTTCTGCAACGACTGGCGTTTTTTTGTTCTTAACAATTCTATTGGTTCCAACGCTCAGGCCTGCAAACCATTGGTTGCTCATCACAAATGTAAGTTTTTAGTTGAGTAAATTGATTTGTAAATAGATGTTTAATACTGGATGTTTATTTGCGATTCTCAAGTTAATCGGAATCGACTGCATATTAAATTTTCGTTTTGTATTATAATATTACTATATTATCATTTATATGTTTAAGTTTTATTTAAGTAATTAAATATTATTATTAATTCAATTTTCGCTATCAATATATAAATAAATTAATAAAAACGTTTATTCAGATGTTATGAAATTTAATATTTTAAATTATTATTATTTGTAAATAAATGAAATTCTATGTATCATTTTTATAATATGTTTTATTTGGTAATTTTGTTATCTGTATGCAATTGTTGCAATTAATGTAAATATGTTTATTATTTATTATAATTTGATTACATTACACAAATTATGTCTTTTATTTCTAAATGAATTAGTTTTAATTGGAGTGTTTAGATTTCCCATTAGAAACTGGAATGTCTTAATTAATAAACATTACGTACATATATATGGTGAAGGCTAATAAGTTAGCTTTCAATGATATAATAAAATTAGCGTATACTGGTTGCGGTGCAATTGAAGTAGTGTATTTGCATAGTAATGTAATACAAATTGATGGGTGAGGTAATTGATGACAAAATGATAGTGGCCGTTCGAGATTGGCGTAGAGGTAAGGTTGTAATGTTGACTGTTTCGGTTGTTGTTGTTGTTGTTGTTGGCAAAACAAGGTAGAAGCGGTGGACTTATCGGTGGAATCGGAAAGCATGCACAAATGTGCCGCCAGCTGCACCCCTTTAGCCTTGCACCCCTCCGCACTAATTAGTTCTGGTACTTTATGTACAGGTAAAGGCTGTACATAAGGGCCCCCTGAAAGTGGAACGGCGTATAATTATACGTGTTTAATACACTCGCTGTCGTTCCCATTTATTTACCCATTTAGCCATTTATATATCGTTTTACATAGTCCATAAAGTGGAAGAGGATAGAAAAGAGTAGAGTAGAGTGGCGCAGTCTGAAATATGGGCAGAAAGTAATTATTTTATAATAACAGTTGCGTCGGGGAAAGTGTCGTAAAACAATATATTCTCTTTATGAAGAATTGTAACGGATTCGGGCGAGTATCCAGTGGTGATTGGAAATGAATACGCCCTCCTGGGGGTGAAGTCTCGCATAACCCCCCGTGGCAAGTCGCGCAGCCTCATTATTTACCGGGGCCTT